ACTCCTACTCCGAATCCTACTCCTACTCCTACTCCTACTCCTACTCCTACTGCTACTCCTACTGCTACTCCTACTGCTACTGCTACTGCTACTGCTACTGCTGCTGCTGCTGCTGCTGCTACTACTCCCACTGCTACTACTACTACTGCTACTACTACTACTACTACTACTACTACTACTACTGCTACTGCTACTACTACTACTACGACGACGACTACTACTACTACGACTTCTACGTCGTAGTAGTAGCAGTAGCAGTAGCAGTAACAATGGCAGTCGCAGTGGCAGTGGCAGTAGTTGTAGAAAGACTACTAGTTATAGTAGCACTACGGCAAGTCGGCTGAATCGATGACTTTCTCCGAATAAAATGTATTTCCGTGGTACCACCGCGAAGCTTTCGCGAAGGCATATTTGGCTGTGGGAATGGCCTTTGATTTGAGTTTTGCGTCAAAGACCTTACGACCAACCACCACATGGCCAAGTACGGCGCGGCTGTGCTGGCTCTTCACAAAGTTGGGTGGCTACAAGCTTGGAGGTCACGGTGCAGGTCCGAGTGTTCGTTTGCAGGTTCTACTTTGGCACGATCACAAAATTACTTGAGCAAACAACCTCACTGCTTCTTTCTTGAGACCAGATTCTCAATCCCAACAAAGCATTGAGCCGATCCTCATGTGGCTCGAGTGGTTTCCCAAGCTGAAGGTATTGGCAGAGATCTGCATCCGTGTCTTGCAAGGATGATACGACGAGCATTTGCGGGATGCACGTAAATCCTCGAGCCTTCGGCTTGGAGATCAGGGTGTTCACCTAAGACCCCTTCCCGGATGCATGCTACAGTACCAACAGCATATCCTGAAACCGGAAGAATCTGCAGGGACCGTGCCATCAATTGCAAGGAGACGATGCAGAAACAGGATGCATTCTGGGAAGCTTCCTGCCCAGACATCAGCACTGCAATGTACACCCAGAGAACATGCATTCGACGTGTATGACCGACAGTGGCACATGAAGGATGCCAGTTCCCGCTAGGACCATGTACTTGCAGTTACATGGTTTTTACTTAGGCCGAAACATAGCTAAACAGGACGCCCTTTCAGGCCAAAGCATACCACGCATGATGACAACGAAGAAAAGTGCACCCCCCCTCTTCCTGATACTTGCCGAGTGTTTGAGCAAAGGGCCATGGCCCAAACCTCCAGACATCAGCTACAGCTTTGAAAAAGGTCACACTCAGCGTGACAGTATATATCCGTTGCAAAATCCAATAAGAAAGTTCCCTTTTGGGATCTTCTGGGCACCGATGGGAGTGTAGGGGCCTGAATAATCCGAATAGGGTTCCGGGGTGTAAATGCCCAGAATTCTGCGGGACAGTCTGAAGACTGATGCAGGCTTCTAAATGGTGTTCTTGGCTGTTGTAGCCTTTCAAGGTAGTGGACATGAAGATGCTAGGGAGGCTGATAGTGCAACAGAAGGGCCCGACCCATCGATCAGGGCCTACAGGGGGATGTAAATACATATTCGACCTGCAGCAACCCTAAAGCCTAAAACCCCTAAACCCTAAACCCTAAACCCTAAACCCTTAAACCCCTAAACCCCTAGACCCCTGGAGATTGGCAGTTGAAGCTTGAGTTTGAAGGCCTCGGAGTTGCGCGGCCTAGGGTGAGGTGCAAGCCGTCACCTTCATCCTTACAGTGACGCTCCTGTTCGTCTCCTTAAACAAGACAGGCTTTTTCCGGACGACAAGTCAGCCCTGATCTCTAAACTCGATAGGGGACGAGGATACTTGGTGTAACAACTATGACAATGAAGGTTTGAGGCACAAGTCATTCATTCTTTCAGGCCTCCTCAACCCGGATGCGAAATCCTGAAGCCAGTATCCTGTACCCAAACCCTGGCTATGTCACAGGGCTCCCCTTCACCCTAGCATTCTGCCGAGACCGATGGCACCTTCAGGGTTGAGGGGGATATCTGGTTTTAGGATGAAGTGCAACCCCTAAAGGGTTTAGGGTTTAAGGTTTAGCATTTAGGGTTTAGGGTTTAGGGTTTAGCAAACCCTACACCCTAAAACCTGCTGGGGCCACGAGTGTTCGTCAGTCCAAGGATCGGGTGCTGCCCTTGCGTCATCTAGGCCAGACCTGTCCACCCAACCATGTGCCCTGCATGAGATCCGAACGCGAAAGCCTAAACCCCCAAACCCTAAACCTGCCTAAACCCTAAACCTTAGACCCTGAACCCTAAACCCTAAACCCGGAACCCTAAACCCTAAACCCTGAACCCCCAAACCCTAAACCTGCCTAAACCTAAAAGGTTTGGGCCTTCGGCTGAGGCTTCTTGTCCTTGCCCTTCTTGCCGGACTTCGCATTTTTCTTGACCTTTACCTGGAGCTGCAGGACCAGGAGCTTTAGGGCTTTTCCACAGGCTTCTACTGAGATTGCTATTGGTTGCATAGTAGGGCTTTACATAATTCCATCGGTTTAGGGTTTAGGGGGTTTAGGGTTTAGGCGGTCCAAGTCTGCCATGGTAGGTCCACTTCACCTCGAAACCCACCGGGTTGTACGATTGCAGTTGCTGCATATCTGGGAGACAAACCACCCTTAGTACCAAGCACCAATATCACCCTAACATAGAACACCTGAAAAAGGGGCTAAAACCCTAAGCCCTAAACCCCAAACCCCAAACTACCAAACTACATGCTATGGCAGACAGCCCCAATATAAATCAAAGATTAAGAGACTGTGGGCTTCTAGCGTGAAGCCACCAAGCCATTAATGGAGAGCAAACTTTCAACTAGGGTGTGGGCTTATGGTCTATCATATGCTTGTTGGTTGCGGGCTTAAGGTCGCCCACCTGTTATTAAGTTGAAGGTCTACTGTAGGCTTTTTGGGTGTGGGTTTCAGGCTTGGTAGGGCTTTGGGTTTAAGGTCTAGTATGGGCTTTTAAGGTGTGGGTCTTCGGTCTCTAGCCCAAAGGTATCGAGCATAGGGTTTTCTAGAATTCATGAATCCCCTAACCCTAAACCCTCTATAAAGCCATGGAGGCATGGTCTCCTTTAAGACGCGTGAACTCATCTTAAGGGGCCCCTGAAAAGATAACCTCGGAGTCTCTTGGAGCGGACATCTCTTCCTGAGAACGCCAGAGTCTGTCCTACGGTGGCTAAAGTCATATGGACCTGGGCTCTTCCCGGGGGTTCGCAGTGTCTGCAGCCTGAGCGCCTGAGCGCCAAAGCCTTAAGATTTTACAACGTTATACCCTAAACCCTAGACCAGCAACCCTATAGCCGTTGACCCTCAAACCCTTCCGCGTTGACAACCCAGGTCCGCGAGACAATTGTGCAGCCGCCGCGGCTGAGGCTTGATCTGCAAGACCGGCCACTTCCGGAAAGGTGCAGGGGACCCCTTTTATGTAGATTTTTAGGGTTTGGGATTTATACAAGGTGTCGCATTGTTGGTTGGATACTGCTGCCAGCACATCAGACGGTTCTCAAACGTTGCTATAATTACAGACACTATAAACCCTAAACCCTAAACCCCTAAACCCTAAACCCCTAAACCCTTAAACCCTAAACCCCTAAACCCCTTACTCCTAAACCCCCCGTGTTCACTCATGCCACCCCAGTCTGCCTCATAAGTCTCAGGCAGCGGTTCTTTAAATCTGCGGTCTACGTCGGTGTCAGGCAAAACTAGGCCGAACGGCCTGCGACGCTGAGGGTTTGGGGCATCATGGCGCCCCAATCGCCCTAGTGGCTTGCAATGGTTTGGACGAGTATAGTGACACCAAGAAAAATACGACGCAATAAGACTAACAAGTGACAAACATTTTCACAATAACCATAGCAGCAATAGTGATAATAATGGGAACGACAATAATCATGGACATGTTAATTCTTCAGACAAGAAGCCCTGCGAGGCGCTTGAGGCTCCCTTCCTACAGGTCACTTGGCAAGTCTGGGTAGCACACGGGGGCCTTCATGCTTAGACTAATATTGTACTTATGGGCTTCTACAGTAACAAGCTAAGACTTCTACGATTTCCTTGTCGTCGCCATCGCAGTCGCAGAAGCAGCAGTAACAGCCGCAGTCGGGAGTTTCGGCACCAGTCGCAGCGGCAGTGATCGTCATCGTCGTATACCGTATAGCAGTAGTATCAGCCGATGTCGTCGGAGCCGCAATCGCAGGCGCAGTTGCAGTAGTCGTCGTAGTCTTGTGTCCATGGGTTGTTTATCATCCGAGACTCCTACTTGGCGGTCGAGATTACCGGAAATAGACAAGTCTCTCTGAAAGGAAGGGCTCGAACGGGCCTACCAACAAAATTCTTTACGGTTTGAGGGTTTAGGCTTCCGGGTTTAGGATTATTTAGGATTTGTACAGTTTACAGGATGTGCATCCTCAGCATTGCATTGCACTTGCATGTGTCGCAGCCAGCGACGTGCAAGAGTTCAGCATTAGCCGGTGAGAGACCTACAGGACGGGGGCAGAAAAGGGCAGGCCCTAAACCCTAAACCCTAAACCCCTAAACCCCTAAACCCCAAACCCCAAACCCTAAACCCTAAACCCTAGAGACCGGATCCCGAAACCCTCCAAAGCCCCGAATCCTACAGAAACCCGAAGCCCTGGTTATGGCGCAATCCGGATGAAGACTTACGTAGAGTGCGTAGAATAATGTGAGCCTAGGCTTAAAGGAACATCATTTCGAAACATATCAGTGTCCTGAACTCTGAACGATTAGCATAGGGTTTCGGGGTATATTGAAGTATGGTGGTCCGCAGGACTTTGGGGGTATATACTTACCAATGGTCCCCTACACTCGTAGGGTTCATTTTTTGGGGCTTGGCTGTGCCTACCAAGGCTTAGCATCCCTCCCGCCCCGGGATGTTAAGACATATTTAGAAGTCCGCGAAGGTTTGAGAATATCGTGAAGCGGAAATCCCTGAACTGAGACGAGGTTGCGGTGTGGAGTTTAGGGTTGAGGGTTTAGGGGCGTAGGGCTTGGGGTTTTGGAGTTTGTTTAAGTCTAGGCAATCGTCGAGTTCTCCCGTCTGTCCCCAGTGCCGATGCAATTGCTACGTCACTGTTCCTCTTCGTCTTCCTCTTCTCCGTGGTCCTCACAGTGAAGGAGCTGCTGAGCACAAACCACCATGTCTGACACAGCTGCAATCCCTAAACCCTAAACCCTAAACCCTAAGCCCCTAAACCCTAAACCCTAAACCCTAAACCCTAAAGCCTACAGCGTGAGGCGTCATGATAAGCCGTCGTTATTGGCATCATCCTGATCTGCTTGTTTTTTCTTCTACACAGGCCTCAACCTTAAAAACCTAAACTGCAAAGCCCAAAACCAAAACCCTTAACCCGAGGTCCGACTTCACCCGAAACATCCCAAAACCCTAACGCCGAAGCCTAAACCACAAGCCCTTATAACTACATATAAGTATAGATATCTTAAGCAACGGGTGGCTGTCTAGGGCCTTCGCAGACATGCAAGAACAAGCTTTGGTAGGCTACGTCTACCTGCCGCTCTATCTTAGACATGCCCCCCCAGGTCTTTCAATATCAAGGAATATACCCTGAATCAAATTCCGGATCCCAGTATATTTTAAGGGTATATCCCTTCCTTAAGAAATATACCTGAAATCATCCTAAGGATCCTATATACCTATATTCCTTATCTAAGGGATATTGAAAGATCTGGGCGATCAAAAAGAGCCGACTGAGCCCCGGCACCCAAAGGGCAGGTTTCCTCTGAAAGCCCAGAGGCGAACCCCGAAGCCTTAAACCCTGAACTGCAAGCCTTTTGGAGTCTTCGGGTTCGTATGGAAGCCTTTAAATATTGACCAATACTAATCCCTTAACCTTCCTTATTATAACTGTACTAGCTGGACCCCCTACATTCTGCGGCTCTTTCCCTGTCAACAAGACTCCTCCGGCCACTCGAAGGTTGACAATTGCTTTCTCGCCGCACCTGTGCATATAGAGGGTAGGGTAGGGTAGGGTAGGGTAGGGTAGGGTAGGGTAGGGTAGGTGGGGTAGGGTAGGGTAGGTAGGGTATAGGGTAGGTAGGGTAGGTAGGGTAGGTAGGGTAGGGTAGGATA